CCATGATTTGGGTGGTTTGGGGAGGCCTTTCTCGTAACCTGCATGGTGCCATCACCGGGGAGTTGCACAAGCAGCTCCGGAAACATCCCGGCAGGAGAGGTTTCACAACCCAGACCCACAGACCCCAGCCCCTGCAGGCACTGGTGCTCTCCTCCTTTTCTTGTGAAGCTGGGTCATGACTCTGCTAAGCCCAGCCCAGCCGAAACCAGGAAGGCAGTTCGCCCCAACCCCCACCCAGCAGTCCCACTGCCAGGCCCAGGAATCACGCAGGGGGTCACCCCGGGGCTGGTTCTCCTCCCTTGGCCAGCCAGCTGCTGGCACGTCCGAGGTCATGGTCCTGCCACTATCGCTGTGTTGATGCTCGCTCCAGGGTCAATAAAAACCTCGGGGAAGGTGCAAAGTCTGCACTGGCTAAGCCAGCTGGCACCCAAGGGGCCAGGAGGGGTGCGAGGAGGAGGCATCAACCCCAAAAGCAGCGGCAGCGATGCCCAAGGCTGCAGGGACACCCCCTTTTGTGATGGCAGCCAAGCAGAGGGCTCGGGTACGCGGGGCCACAGCAGCTCTGGGAGTGACCCTGTGGAAGCTCCCCAGGGTAACTCCGGCCTGTGACCGTCCCCCGCGGGGTGAACGGCCGCGGGTTAAAGATGGATGCACTTGCTCCAGCCCTGAGGGGATGGCAGGACAGAGGTGGTCCATGGTCACAGGGCCATAGGGTGCTCAGAAAGGGGACGGGCAGTATGGCACAGCCCATCCTGTTCTGTTGCTGGCAGGGAAGCGCCTGGGCTCCCATCACACCCCGGGCAGATGGAGAAGCCAAGTGGGGCCAGCCTGCAGGGACCTGTTCGGTTGGTGCTTTGCCTTCACACGTGTTTCTGCCACCTGCCACAGGGCGTGTGTCACCTCTCCGGCTCTCCTCCACCCCTAGCACAGGCTGGGGGTGAACTTTTGGCCATGGATCCTCCACAGCACTGGCGAACAAGCTGGGAGCCGGTGGGACAGCCATAGTGGCGGTGTCTGGCAGTGCCCTGGCACAGCTAACCTGGCCCCCAGTGACAGGTAATGCACGCGTGTGCTTTGCCACAAACAAATGAGCAGAGGAATACAGACCCTGTTTTCTTCTGACATCCGTGTCTCCTGGCAGGCCTCCCCGCGCTGCAGGACCCTGTTCACTCCCAGCCAGTGTGACGTGGGTCCAAGTGGTTCTCCTTCCCTCACATACTTTCTCTTGCGCTGTGGTGGGTGCAGAAGAGCAGAGGGGATGGAGCCGGGCTCTCCCAGAGCATCCTGCCCGCAGCAGGACCCCTGCCCTGAGCACAGGGGAGCGGTGAGCTCAGCTCCCAGCACTTGTCCCCAGGCTGGCACTCTGCAGTGATGCCCTGGGGACATGGGGGCAACCCAAAGGGCTTTTGGGACTCACTGTGCACCCTGCCTCCAGGGAAACCCTGACTTTTTACTGGGAACCCTCCCAGTTTCACTGGGAATGCACCAGGCACAAAATAACAAACCCTGAGGGACAGCATGTTCCCCAAGGGCACCCATAGCAGGCTGACCTGTCTTCTCTCCCCCCACATCCCCCCCAACTCGGCTTTAGGAACTTTAATTCTCTGTCTCCCCCCTAAGGGAATGACCCGGTACTGCACCGTGCCAGCAGTAACGTTGCTCTCAAGCTTAGTTAGGCACAGAATCATATCACAGAGAGGTTTGGGTTGGAAGGGACCTTAAAGATCATCTAGTTCCAACCCCCCTGCCATGGGCAGGGGCACCTTCCACTAGCCCAGGTTGCTCCAAGCCTCATCTAGCCTGGCCTTGGACACTTCCAGGGATGGGGCATCCACAGCTTCTCTGGACAACG